TAGTACTTGCTTCCTCCTGTGGCCCTATTAGCCGTGTGAAGGCCAAGCCTGGTCTTACAGACTGTCCCCGGAGCCCCCAGGGGTCTGCTTCAGAGCAGGTGCCCAGACGGCTCATCTAGATTCACTACATGCCCTCAGACCCTGTGGAAGATTCTTCCCTACAGCACTTGCTTCAACCCCCCCGGCCTGTCTCCTGACATCCCCTCCTCCTGCCTGCTACAGCTCTGCTCTCCACCAAGACTCCGTCTCTGACCAGCAGGAGATATGACCCAACCTGGCCAAAGCAAGGGGCAGCATGGGGCTGAGCTCCCTGTGGCCCCTGCTCCCACAGCTGCCGAAGATGCTGTGGTTCTGCTCCCTAAGGATCTGGCTCAAGGCTGGTCCACAGACTCATAGGGTTGGCATCCCGGGCCTCACCCTGGATGTCTTGAGTCAGCATCTGTGTCTTAACAAGAGCCCCAGGTGACTCCTCGCGTGCACATCTGAAAAGCCCTGGTCTAGGGGAAGCACCTCCCCGTGCCCAGGCCCCCAGCAGCTGGCTTGGGTCGCCACAGCGGGGCTTGCAGTCAGCTTTCCCCTCCCCTCCCCACCACCCTCTCCCATGTGCCCTGACCTCCCAGGCCACTGACTCATGCAGGGACGCCCCCTGGCCCTCAGCCCAATGCTGGGAGGTTTAACAGTCACCCACAGAGCTAGCACAGAGAACAGCCTAGAACCGCCCCCCCTCCCCCCGCTGGATCCTGCCTCTGATTCATCCTTGCCAGTCTTCAACCAATCTTAACAATGGCATCTTTTAACCACATCACATGGATTTCAGGTTTCCCCCAACAAACAAATCCGACAGATTGGGTGTGATCCTCACCAAACCATCTACCAGCTGTGTGATCCCAGGCAAGTTGACAGAGCTCTCTGACTTGCAGCTTCTTTATCTAGAAAATAGTGGTGATTTTCACATGGACCTCAGGGAGATCATTCATCTATTCGTACATTGTTGCAAACGGCCAGTGTCTACAGAGTGCCATTGTGTGCCCAGCACCAGAGACAGCACCGAACAAGAGAGACCCAGTGCTGCCCTTCGGGAGCTTTCGGAGGAGGAACTGGGGGCAGACGTGGAACAGAGACGTGTATGCCATGCCCATAGGGGCCAGGCGTGGAGAGCACACCAGCAACAGACAGACGTGGGCTTTAAGCTACCGAGGAGTTTAAGAAAAACATGAGGCGATGGGAGGAGGGCTGCCGGGATCTCCAACAGTTAATGGATATAGAAGAACTGAAGTGATTATAAAAATATTTCAGATGTAGAGCACAGGTGCCTGAAATAGGCAATAATTGAGGGGGAATTAGAGTTGTTTTTCAGAGAGTTTCACAAATTTGTGTGTGTGTGTGTGTGTGTGTGCACGCTGTCTTAAAGATGGAATATATTTTCTCAGGGTTTCAGAGACCCGTCATTTAAAGAAAATGATAGGGATGGTTTGAGAGCAAGCCCAGGGCTCTTGTCATGCCCTGAGCTTCCTTCTGACAGGCCCCTGAGCTGCCCTAGATCTCAGATTTTGAGAGTTAGCTAGGCGCCCCACGAACACCCACCTACCACCATGTTTTCTACATGAGACACTGAGGCCCGTACTTGCCCTGTGTGAGTAGGTGATTACAGGTGGCAGAAAATGGATATTCAAACCCAAGTCCCCTGCCTCCCGGCCGAATACCCTTCACCATACATCATGCAGGCTTCCATGAGCTCACAACAATGCCCAATCAACATTGGCGATCAGCACTGACCCAACGAGGCTGAATCTCAAGTGGATCCCACCAACCAAAGGGAGCCAGATGCCGAAGCCTGCATCGTTCCACCTGCAGGACAGCCAGGAAGAGGCAAACGAGGAACGTATACAGATTGGTGGTCACCAGACAGTGTGGGAGGGGCTGACGGCAGCAGGGCACAGGGAACTTTTGGGGTGTTGGAATATCCTGTATGTCGATTAGGGTGGTGGTTATGCCAACTGCATTTGTCAAACCTCAGAACCATATGCCAACAAGAGCAAATTGCACTGCATGTGAATTATACCTCAGTTTTTTAAAAAGCAACCTAAAATAATACATGGTGATGATAGTAATAATCACCTTCAATGCCAAAACCCAGTCTGTGTTCAGGGCCATGACACGGAATCCTTGGAGATGCCCTTGGTCAGAGCAGGGAGATGAAGAGTCAGCTTCAGTCAAGGATGTCCAGCTGCACACACTCCTCCTGGGAGGTTTGTCAACTGCACATCCTCAAATCAGCATGCTCCAACCCCGAGCAGGCTCCCTGACCCGCCGTGAGTGGCGTTGGCCTGCCCTGTCGCCCTGGCCCACCAGGGGGATGGCCCCTCCGTGCTCCACTTCAAACCACCATGTGTCACTGATCCTGTCATTTCTCTTGCACATCTTCCCCGCCCCAGCCTCTACTTGCCACACCTGGGTGATACCTGGATGACACCTGCCCTCTGGCCTCGGGCCCCCAGCCCGGCCCGCCCAGAGCTTCCGGGATCCTGCTGCCTCCTCACCCACGGTCATCAAGGATGCCGCAGGGACTCCCTGACCCGGTTCAGAGACCTCCACAGAATGGCCCCAACACACAATTCACTCCTGCATTACCTGCCCCACCCTGCGGCCACGGGGCCTCTGCCCACTTGCCCTCTGCCCCGAGATCAAGCTGAGAACAGCCTCGGTACTCTTAGGAGGCATAAGGGCAAGTGAAAGAGAAGACAAGGGGATCTTGGTGGGTAGGCCAGAGTCACTGAATCCTAAAATCAACAGCTTCTGCCTGGACACTGTCAGGGATAGGAAATTCACTCCCCCCCCCCCCCCCCCCCCCCCCCCCCCCCCCCCCCCCCCCCCCCCCCCCCCCCCCCCCCCGCCCAGCAGCTGCCCCGCCTTTGGCCAGCTCTCAACTCCAAAGATGAAGTCTGTCCTTGCCTGTGGCCTCAATCCACCCCCTCCATGCCCCAGGCCCCAGAGAACAGATTTGTGATGACTTGACCTTGGCCCTCCTGGGTCTTCTCTCCCCATTCCCAACCAGAGCGCAGGGCAGAGGGTGCCCCCTCCATCTGGTCAGGATAGAAACCTCTCACTCTCTCTGTTCTCATCCCCTTGCTGACTAGGGTTCAACTTGATGTGACTGGAAATCACCCCTCTTGCCTGTGAGCTGTGGGTTCCTTGCCACATTTATAATAAACTCTGCCCTGCCAGGTACTCCTAGGAGGGATGCCCCCCAAATGTGACCTATTTGCCTCTACATGGTCATCTCTGGCCCCCTGAAATCACAGCTTTACTCTCTGAGGCAAAGCATTAGCCAGCAGGACAGGGTCCCTCCAACAGATCTCACAGGGCACACCCTAGCATTTGAGGACGAGTTCATAGACGCTGGGACTACCAGGGGCTTGATGGGGTCCCACAGCCGGCCATGGTGCTGAAGGAGCTCCCCAGGTCCTCACAAGCCAGGCCAAGCTGCCCCAAGGTAGGCCCTTGTCTTAGTGCTCCCTGACCTCTAACACCTTAACACTTGTTTCTGCTTGGCTGATTATTTATAGGCAGGGTCATCAATGGAATACCAGCAGACATGCAGGCAGGTAGGAAAGGAAGCAACATCCCAGGACAAACTTTCTGCATCTGTGTCATTAGGTAGCTGGTTCCAGGAACCAGAGTGGTCCTTAGTCCTCAAATCTCCCTGACCAGAAAATCCTAATTCCTGCCTTAGATAAACAAAGATATGCTCTGCCTAGAGCAAGGGAAGTCACCCTTCCTGAATATTCTAAGGTCGCCTGACCAACTGCCCTGAAATATGTTTGGCCAGGGGTAAGGGGAAGAGGAGGGGGTTGGGAACTCACCTATGAGGACCTGAGGGTGATGCCTAGGGTCGCCAGGACACCTGCTGTAAGCAGAGGGGTGTGGTGGGAAAGGGGGAGGGGTGCTTCAAGTCCAGACCCCCATTCTTCACATTTTTTTTACAGAAGAAGACAGCAGCAGAAAAGAAAAGTTTTCCTGAGTCTTTAAACTCTTTGAAAACGTGATAGAAGTTCTAGACCTGTAATCAAGAAAGATGTATCTGCATAAACACAGCCTCTGCCTACAATTTATGTGTCCCTTACATAGAGTCCATGGGAGCCCAGGTTCTGAACCCTCAGATGGATGAGAAGCCACAGAGAACCCTAGCATGGCTCTCCTGTCTAGCACGCTGTCCTACCCAGCTTACATTCTACTCAAGGATCCGCCATGTCCCTCATCACTCCAAGAGCCTGTACCCTGGAAGGCACATGTTGGGAAGAAAATGGGGTTTGCCTGGACAGTCCTGGTATAATTCGATTACAGCCCTTTTCCTGTGAAGAGTGCCCTGGTCCAAATGATATCCACCATGGTCACCCCAGAGGAAGGTAACCATTCTGTTACGCCAGCTCATGGGGTGGGGGAGGGCTTGTTCCCACAGCTGCCATTCATCATCTTATCAGACAGGCCACTATCTACCAACTACACCTAGCCACCAGTGGATGGCAAGAGGTTTGTCCCCACAGGATTCAAGTCTTCCCTCTTCTGAATTTACTGTTGTGTGACCGTCATTCGCTGATAGTCCTTTTGAGTCTCCCCCAGACTTTACTTTTGTGTCTGTCCATACATCTTCCCTTTCTTCACTTTGGTTTCATGAAGTTCTCCTCACTGTTTTTGCTACTCTTTCTCTTGAATGACTCAGAAGATGTTTACTTGAAAGCTAGTTATACAAGCCACTTAAAGCATTTTCCCCAAAGCGCATCCTATGAATAGAATAAACAAACTTCAATTATAAAATGATACATGAATGCATCCAAATTGCAGTGGTTAAACTGTAATTTTCATTGACAAAGATGCGGTTGCCCAGATGAGCAGACTCTTCCAAATTCCATCAGATCTGAAAGGGAGTGGAAGACCACACTCTGAATGGAACATTTAGCCTGATGACCCTAACTGAAGATTGTTCTCTTTCTATTCCAAAGCACTCAAACTGGTGAAGCTGGAGAGGTTACCCATTTCCAGTCGCTCTGCTGAGAAACAACTGGCCCAATTTCCATGGAGACCAGGGGATCTGAAGGTTTGGAAAAGCCCTGGAAGAAATTGGTGAGTGGGTCACGGGAGACTGATGATGTGCAGGACAAGGTGAGACCTGAGTTACTCTCAGAAGATGAGAAAACACGCCACGCCAACCAAGAGACGCAAGACAGAGAACCCCGCCGCTCCAACCCAATTCAGAGAAACTCCATCTTCAACCGCACCGTGAGACGCAAAAGCAAAGGCAAACCCAGAGATGCTCCGGAACAGAACAACACCCCTGACCCGGCAGGTCAGTACCAGGGACAGCTGCTACCGCTGTTCCCTTGATAACCAGGTGGCATCATCAGGGCTGAACGGCCCTAATTAAATGAGAGAAGAATAGAAGGCCTTGAAAATTATCAAGGTCAGGTCCAATAAAATGACACACTTTGAAGCTGTTATCTAAAGGATTCAATTCCCGCAATATGATGATGTGGGTACTTCAGGAGAAAAGTGTTGACCCAAATTGTACAAGAAGACTGGCTTCTATTTAAAAAGAAACATCCTGTTCTAGGACTCAACAAAACACCCCTAGACGTCCATGTCTTCTAGCAGGGAGGCTCGGAGCTGTCCACGTTTAGGGATGTCTGGGAACACGAGTTTTCCAAGCCGCGAGGTCCTATTTTTGTTCTCTCACGGTTGCTGTGATGGCCAGTGTTTCTGCCACACTGGAAATATCTGAGAGGAATATCTCGGGAATAGCTTTGCAGCTGGATCCATTAATCTTTTCAGTGAGTCCCTAGCACATCTTATCTGCTCCAAGTATATTTCTTGAGCAGAATAAGGTTCAGAAAGTTTTACAATTGGCGCGGGGGGGGGGGCTGTCAGAGCTGCAAATTCCTTTCTTTGTGACTTGCCCACATGCCTGAGTGGGCAGCATGCCAGGGCTGTGGAGTAGGTGCTAGTTTCTTGGCACCTGGGGTACGGCACCTGCCACCAGTCTGCCACCCTACGTGTGCTGGACGTGGCAACCCCCTGCTTTAGATCCAGGGACTTCATGAATCATTTGAGACATTCACTGAACTCTGTATCAGGGAGGCTTTTGCCACATGGTAAACCACCCTCAATATATAGAGACAAAACAACAATATTTATTATATCTCATGATTCTGGGGGTTGATTGGGTGGTTGCTCTGTCTGGACCACTTTGTCTGACCGCTGCAGTCTGCTGGTGACTCATCTGGGATTGCAAGGTCAAGGAAGCCCCACTGAGTGAGGCTTGGTGGCTAGTGAGCTGGTTGGCCAAGGAGGGCCACAGCTGAGACGGCTGGTCTCTGTTGTCTGTGACTGCTCGTCCTCCAGCAGGCTGGCTCGGGCTTGTTCACAAGGCAGCAGGGTCCCCAGACGTCAAGAGCAGAAACCACTCTCAAGAGGCCTGGACTCAGACCTGTAGAGCCACTTCTACCACATTCCAAGCAGCTCACACACCAGCCCAGATAGAAGCAGATGGACAACCCAACCCCACTGCTTGATGGGAGGGGTTGCAATCTGTGGGTGTTTGCTATCTACAAACACTAACAAAATTATGCATCAAGTACCGAATTAAGAGCAAGAGAAATGCGATGGAAATGCCATACAGGGGAAGCTGGGTGAATGTATTATATTTTTATTATATGACCCTCTCAACTCTTGTGTATGTTTGAAAATCTTATGAAATGGAAAGTTAGAAACACACTCCCACACAAAGAAAGTTGGAGTCTCTGCCCTTGAGCCCGCAATATTGTAATGATGTCATTCCCCTGCAAGCAATACCTCAAAGTTTACAGGGAAGGTAAAGGCAGAAAACAAGACCCTTCTGGTGAGGTTAGGAATGATTCCCCAAATAAGATGATACTTTAGATGAGTCCTGAGGGATGCACGAGGACACGGCCAGAGAGACAACAGAAGCTAACTTGGCTGAGCACTTGGAGGTACTCAGTGTTATGGGTGTCCTTACTACACCCATTTTACAGATTAAAAACAACAACAACAACTGCAGCAAAGAGAGATTGAGTCACTTAGCCCAGATTGCACAGCTAGTGAGTGACCTGGCTTGAACAGGAGTTCAGATCCTTCTAGTCCCAAAGCCTGTGCAGATGGAGAAGGGGGTTAGGGAGGCGCTTTCTAACGGAAATATGATGCAAGCTACATATGTCATTTTAAATTTCCCAGTAGCCACATTAACAAAAGTAAAAAGAAATGGGTAAAATTCATTCTAACAATGCATGTATTGAGCACAATGCATCCAAGATATCATCGTTCCATCACATAGTCAAGAATGAATATAAAAAGTTAGTAATGAGACATTCTGCATTTGTTTTTTTTGCAGTATGTCTTTGAAATCCATGGAATATTTTTGTTGGAAATATTTGATATGGATTTAGGTTTCATAAAATGTACAATCAGAAAAGCAGATTTGCATGCCCAGACCATTCCATATAGCCTTAAAAGTTTTCCACTAACTGAATTGAGTATTGGTTTTTACATTTAAATTTAAATTAAGTTGAAAAGAAATGAAGATTTCACTTCCTGAGTCACACTAGCCACATTTCAAGCGCATACTAGCCACACGTGGCTAGCAGGTTTCGAGCATTGCAAAGCAGACAGAAAAGCAGATACAGCTGCCCAGGGTCAGCGGCTGGGGGGGTCTTTCTGAGCAGGAGCAAAGGCAGGTGTGGGGCTGGGTTGGAGATGAGCCTGGAGAGGAAAACCGCGTCAAGGGGGAAAGAGCGTGTGGTTTCCCGAGCCGAGCCGAGAACGCCAATGCCGGTGTAGACTAGAACAAGGGTCACTTCACTTCTTGCCACCCTCAAAGATGCCAGTGATGTCCAGACCATAAATATTTTCATCAGACTCAGAGTTTTATTTATTTTTTTTAAAGATTTTATTTATTTGAGAGAGAGAGAATGAGAGGCAGAGAGCACGAGAGGGAAAAGGGTCAGAGGGAGAAGCAGACTCCCCGCTGAGCAGGGAGCCCGATGCGGGACTCGATCCCGGGACTCCAGGATCATGACCTGAGCTGAAGGCAGTCGCGTAAGCAACTGAGCCACCCAGGCGCCCTCAGAGTTTTATTTTTAAAGTGACTCCCCGTTGCACTTCCCTGGAGTTAACTCCCAAGACAGCCCAGAGCCTCCTGATCCAGAGTCCAAGGAGAAAACTCTCCCCCTGCTCAGCCTTGGAGGAGCAGACAAAACGGATCAGCTGGTGTCGGGCTGCTCTGGCCCGCTCTCAAACAACAAAAGATTTGTGCTCTGGCTTCACTCTGATAAAGGGCTGACTTTTCAAAGTCACATAGATCAGGGATTGACGACCCACCTACAGGGAGCCTGACGCCCTGGGGTGGGAGCTTGACTTATTATTTAATAGCGCTTAGGACTAGGACATTGTAAAGTTAGATGTTAAAAGACTGGATAAATTGCAAATGATTTTAGCCCAGTAGGAACAATAACACTGGTAGTTCTGGTTTTATTGGGCTCTAAGATATTAATCAGGTTTATATCTAAGTTGCAATCTCATTTCCAATATTCTTTTCCCACTGTGTCTGTATACACATGAAGCTTCTTGCATCGTAATTATAGTTTTTGTACAGATGGCATCCCAGGTCACCAAACACGTGCAAGCCATGGCAAATTCCCCTTCAGGGGCGTGAGAGGAAGAACACCCCTCTTCATTCCTCTTCCTTCCCTCCCGGGTGAACTTGCTACTGTCCCTGTCACAGAGAGAACTGCCTGAAAGGGGGGAAATGCATACTTTCTAACTCTGCCTTTCTTAAATGTCACAGATTCACTGGAAAATGGACAGTCTGTAAATGAGTCCCTGACCTTGAATTCCCCCCAGAGCAGGATGTCTCGGTGGAGAATCCCTATACAGCCAGACCCAGGAGCCAAGAGAACAAGGTGAGAGGAAGCAAACTTCAGGAGGGGCGGTTTACGACCAGAGGTGGCAGGGACCATTGCGGTAAATCTTGACACGGCTGCAAGCGTGTCTCATGGGTCTTTAAAAAAGTCACTTTTTGTTGCCCATGTTAAAACAAAACAAAACAAACCACAAAACAAACCACAAAACACTCCACAATCTCCTTTTAAAAAAAAATAACCCACTGTTACTCTTCTGTCACAAAACTAGGAAATTGTGGCTATTACAGATTTCAAGAAGTAGAAAAGGAAAATCACTGTATTGCGCCACCACCAGAGAGGTTTTAATACAACTGTTGCAAAGCTTTTTTTCTTACACGGTTTATGCCTATTTTCTCTTCATAAAATGGGATCTTACTATATATCCTGTCTTCAGACTTACTTAATAGTATGTCACAAACACTTCTGCATGTTACCAAATATTTTTCTACACGATCGTTCAATGGCTATAAAATAATCTACAGTATGATTGCACTGTAATTCGTTGATCATGCTACTGTTGTTGGACATTTGGTTATTGTTTCAGCTAGGACTAAATTTAGCTGCTTATAACCAAAAAACCCAAATGACACAGCTTAATGAGACAGAGATCTATTTGGCTCTTGAGTGAAAAAAGCTTGGGGAGTTGCGAGAGCAGCTCCAGGAACCCAGTCTCCTTCTACTCGGCTGTGAAGGTGATTGCCAGAGCTCTGGCCATCACAGCCACCATTCAGGTGGTGGGAAGGAGGAAAGCAGAGGGTGGTGAGGGCACACGCCAGCCTATTCTGCTCTTCTTTTAGGGAGCTTCCCTGAAGCCCACTCAATAACTGGTGCTTAAATCTCATTGGCCCAAACTGACTGAGTCACGTGGCCACCGGCGCTTGCAAGGGAAGCTGGGAAAATGTATGTCTCTTTCAAACCAGGTCTGCTTCCACCCCTGGTAAATTGGTTCCACACTAAGGAATAAAGGAGAATGGATGCAGGGAGGCAACAGCAATCTCTGACCCCAAGGAGTTTGGATATTTTTTGCTGGTTTGTAAGCCACACTATGATAAGTATCATTGTGGCAAAACCCTGACACCTGTCTCTCATTATTTCCTTAAGTTCCTAGAAACTTCACACTTTCTACAAATCCCTGGATGGCTGCAGGGAAATAGTATTCCTATATTTGTATTGGGGGATATACGGGCTAGGCATCCCATCCCAGAACCAGGTGGTAGGCATTCTATCGCTTCCTCACACTACTTTGACCATAGGCCCTTGATTTTATATATTTATATATATAATTTTTATACATCTTATATATATGTATATATATAACTTAATAAAATATGTAATACAATATAATTTAAATAAATAATATAATTTAATAACAAAATGAATTTATGTATATAAATAAACGAGGACTTAGTTCACTTACATGGAATTATATATTAAAGACAGTTGCTTCCTGTTGCCTCTGTTCTGGCTTAAGAGCCAAAGAACAACACTGTAATCTGCCCACCTACACAGGACACTCCAAGAGACAGTGGGTGAAGTTGCCCTCAGCTCATCCCTCACATGCAGGGGTCAGCAGAAGTGACAGTACGAATATTTGACAAGCAGGACCCAACACTCTAGAGAGAGTCCCAGAGGGGCAGAGGAAGGGCTCTGAAAGCAGGGAAGGGAAAACTGCTCAGGACAGTGGCTATTTCCCAACCAGTACACAAATGCTTCCGTATTTTCACAATCAATAAAAAAGAGGATAAGGAGATGGAGACTGGCCACCAGGTTTTGTTTTAGTTTGGGGGTGACTGTCAGGGTGCTGTAAGCTGCCCACTCCTTCCCCTGGGGGTTCCCCAGAGAGACAGCACCAGCAGGATGTGGAGCAGGGCCGGGCGGGGGGAGCTCATCATAAGGAACCAGCTCACAATTGTGGAGGCTTGGTGAGTGCAGAATCCTTTGGATGGGCCTATGGCTGGACACTCAGGGAAGAGCTGCACAATTCTCTTCTGCTTGGGGAGGTTAGACTTTGTTCTATTAAGACCTTCAACTGGGGGTGCCTGGGTGGCTCAGTCGTTAAGCGTCTGCCTTCGGCTCAGGTCATGATCCCGGGGTCCTGGAATCGAGCCCCGCATCGGGCTCCCCGCTCCGCGGGAAGCCTGCTTCTCCCTCTCCCACTCCCCC